AGTTAATTAACGTTATGTAGTTAGCGAATGGTCGGGCGATAGATTCACAAGCTACGGTCGAACAGTCTGACTTGCTTCGAGTATTCCCGTGCCAAATAGGGCTTGTACAACGGGCTTGTTGTACATTGCTCGTTTCGTGCGTTTGTTTTCATTCCTTCTAAGGACGAAATAACTCGTCGAAATCTCTCTCTCGTTTCTGGGACAAGAAACGAGACGTAAAGATTCTCTCGAAAATTTCTTTTTTTTTTTTTTTTCCATCTTTCAATTCAAGGGAAAATTTAAATGTTAAATCGATATTCGAGTAAATCTCGAGTAAGATTCGTTCGTCGCTGATTTTTTTAACAAGTGTCGAATCGATCGTCAATTTTAAATCGCTAATAAATTTCACACTCGAGTATACGTTTTTTTTTTTTAAAGGCATGGATAGATGGCGAACGTTGTCCATTTAGTTAGTTATCCCCCGTATGGATTGCCGTAGCGTTAAAAGTTAACGCGTTCCCCGCCAACCTCCTCGTAAATTTGAAATTGCACGCGCGACGCGAGAGGCGAATTTATTTTACATACGCTGCGCACGGCATATTTACTGCGAATCACGATTCACGATCGTCGAAGAGTCGCGATCCCATCCACTTTTCCCGCTCAATTGTTCCGGTCATTAAGCCCTTTTGACTTTTAATTATCGGTCGCTTGGGGGTTGAAATTGTTGAAACCTGTCGATGTTGCCAGCTCGATTCATCGATAATAATTTAAAAAAGAAAGAAATGCGTGTATCCTATTCTATTAATTTAATCCAACGTGACGAACGCGAAAAATGAAAAATGTCGATAATATTATCGACGATTGGGATTATCGTTAAAAATTTCACATCGAGAAACGAAAATGAAAATTACGGTTTCGTAATCACGCGAGAAATTCGTGTTACGCCCTTTTGACTCGTAATTACTAAACGCTTAGGCAAGCGTTACTTATTATCCTGGTCGTTGCGGATATAATAGTCGTAATAAGCGACACCACCGTGCTCTGGTTTAATATCGCGTGGCCGCCGCTGGATATATAGAGATATCTGGTCATTAAGCTCTTTTGATGTTTAATTATTGGATACATAGGTAAATGTTACCTATTATTATACTTGGATGAATTATAATAATCTGGCTTCCCACGAGTGGCTTTAATATCGCGTTAAAGATATTTTCATGGATACATCAATCACGATTGGATATCTATATCATCGTAAAAATACGAATTTTTCGTGATAATCCTGGTTCGAAGATTAAAAAATTCTCTCTTCGTTCTAAAAAAAAAAAAAAGAAAAAAAGAAGAAGAAGAAGAAAAAGGAATCGACGATTGAAGAGATATTCGCAACTGGATTTTAAGTCGTCGCATTCCATATATCACTACGTACAATTTCTTTTTCCATGCCGTTAAACAGATCGTTCGGGAATGCTAAACTGGAGTCGGATTAGAACGAAATAAAACTGCACGGAATCTGTATCAACTGTAACATTTTCTCGAATATATAAAAAAAAAGAAAGAAAAAGGATGACGAAACATCTAGAAATAATTCCATCACATTTTCGAACGCATGCATCGATTATCTCCATCTTTCTTGCTTGGTCGAATTGTAGGAGAGGAATCCGGATATTGCACGCGTGCATCCGCCTTCTCGATGCGCCTTCGCAATCGCCTTTGGTTAACGATAAATCGTGGAGATCCGCGCATTAAGAATTACGGTGGAGGGAAAGTGGGTCGCGGATCAATCGAGGGAGAAAAAGCGGGGAATTGTTGCGGCCGAGTTTGGCCGAGGTTTTACCCCCCCTCCCCTTGGAAAGAGTGATCGTTGGGGACGAAGGCAACGTAATTAATTCCTCCGAGGCCTGTCCTCGGAGCTTCCCCTTCGTTGTTCTTCTATTTTTCATCGTTTCTCGATTACGGAAATTAATTTGGATACGTAGAGATTGACAAAGATGGAGGAGGATGAATAACGATTTAAGAAAAGATAATGAAAACACGAGAGATCGAGGATAATATTTTGCAATGTTTCCTCTCGTGTTTTTAATTGTATTTTTCGTTGCGTCATTTTTTTTTTTTTTTTTCGTTTATTCTTGTTATCCTACGATGCTTTTTGAAAAATTATGCTCGAATGCTTGTTGATTTTTGTAAAATTGGAGTACGAGAATGATGGCGGATTATGTTTGACGAATAAAGGTTTTTAGTTGGTTTTTCGGAAAATGTTATATTTATAAAATATAGTCATTCACATTTTGCACGGAAAATGATGCTTTTTTCTGAAAGAAGAATTGTATTACATTTTTTTAATATCATATTAATATTACACGCGGATCATAGCAGATGAGTTTCATAATATATCTTTTTCGTGCTTTATCTTCATTCATAACGGAGAGAAGCACGTGTAAATAAATTCTTATTATGATTTATTAAAGAGGAAACGCAACGCGCCAGAATTTTTAATTATTGTAATAAATTTTGATTTTAATGAAAATTGATATTGAAATATCCTACGTGACGTTAATAATATTTTTCGTAATTATATATTTTAATTTTTCGCATTGTTCCAACTTGCTCGCGCAAAATTCCAATGATATTTGAAAGATTAAATTCGTATTCTGTTCGAAGACGAGTTCGACTACGATGAATCTACGAGGCGCGACGTTAGAGATTATTGAAGATAAAAGATTTATGAAATACCGAGAGAATAATATTTTTACGCGCACGTTATTTCTTCGTTATCTACGCGCATCGCTGTTATCTTACTGAAATTAAACGCGAATTAATCTCGGCAAATATTTATTTTCCACGAATAGGAAAGGGAGAAAGAAAGAGGAGAAGCGAAGATGGAGGATGGTGAAAAGGGAAGGGAAGGTTGAAGAATCCTTCTTCACGTTTCGAAGATACTCGTAACGAAATGTTGGCGCGTTATAAAGAAATTACATAGATAAAGTAGAAGAGCTATTCCTTTTTTTTGTAACGAAAGAAGCTACACTTTTACACTTACTCCTTCTCAACAATGAAACAACGATAAACCGTTCTTCGATTAATTAAACACTTTTATCGCACTTTTATCCGCAGAGCCGCTACTCGACGAATCTCGTGAATCTCGAGCGCAATAAAGGACACTTCTTTTCACAAAGAAATTCCAATCTCCCTCGCCCCCATCTTTCGTATCCGATCCGATCGGATTTGAAAACTCGCCGATTTATTCAACTTTTGTTCGATCAACGAAATAATATTTTTCGAAATAATTTGCGCGCCGATTCGAAGTTCGACGAGCATCAAGTGATGGAAATGGAAAGTGCCGGAATCAACTTAATTGGATAGGTAAATTCGTCGGGCAAAGGGAATCGAGACGAGGTAAATTTTCTCCTAAGATACTGTGGAGGCAAATTAACCGATATTCGTGTACTCGTTCCCGCGTTTGACGGGAACGAATTCGTGTTAACAATCCGCCTCTTAAGCGGATATTTCGGATATATATCGTTTTCTCAACCGCGTGAATTTCACCTTCGAATGAAAATCCGCACGCTTGTGTTCACTCGAGAAACGATAATATTAATATCTCGACTGGGCAATGAAAACAATAAATAAAAATGTACGGGTTCAGCTGAATATATTTAATTATACCTGATTGCTCGTATCTGTTTTCAAAACAAAATTTGAAGTATATGTATCGAAGAAAAACATAATAGATAGCAACTATGAAATAGCGATGTTGCTGGCAACATTCAATGATAAAACTACGTAATAAAATTTCTGTGAACTTTAAATTCTATAACAATTACCTGTAGTAATATAATATACTATTTACGCCTTAGACGGATTTGATATTAAATCTCACGTGGAACAGAGTTGTTTCTTTAATTCCACCTCGTTGTTTAACGGCGACGATTTAAATTGCTTGGGGGAGAGTTAGTTTGTGGCGTGCGGGGTTGGATCGGTAGTAAGCTCGGAGTAAAGAGTTTTAATGAGGCGCGTTGAAATTGTTAATAATGTTTGTGGGGAAAAGTTTCTGTGGGGAAAATGGAATGATTTATTAACCAACTTTATTATTATTTTAACGAGAGAATTCGCCATATGCGCGTGGCGATCGTTCATTTGCGAAAACCTGCGTTCTCAACGCAGGGTATAACGTTTTCGATCTTCTTGTATGAAATCGGCAAAAATCGTAACGAAATTATTTATAAATAAACGCTCGTTTAAAGATCATTCTATCGCGTTCTTTAACTTTAACTTTTCGTAAAATCGTAAAATCGAGAAGAAAACAAAAAAATAGTTCGACTTATCGCAATATCCGCAATTCCACGATAAATCGGTCGCTGCCTTCGTAATGAACTTCTGTCTTCGTTTAATCATTTTATCTGGAAGATCGATATGCCCGTTCCTCGAATCACACCGACCCGGAAGCCAATAAATTATCGAGCATGAATTTTCCATTAAATCATCTGCATAAATTAACCGAATTGAAATACCAAGAAACAAGATTCGAAAAAAACTCCGTATCCGAATGAATGAAAATCGAACCGAGGAAAAGAGGGAAATTTCGTGTATACACGTGTATACACGTTCGATGATCTCTGAAAAATATTGGAATAATGATGAGTTGCTGCTGCATACGATGTACGATTGAACGAATATCCCTCGTTCTCTGTGAGAGGAAGCATAAAATTTCGAAAAAAAAACTCCACTCGAGTATTACTCGTATTTTCGTTCGATTTTCATTGCTTGAGATAAAAAAAAAAAAATTTTGCTCGTCGATTTCTTACATACGCACGATTCTCCTCTTCCCTCTTCCCATTGATGAAACCGAAGGTAAAACGGAAATGAATTTTCCGTTTATATATATATACGTATATAAGATAGAATGGAAGGGCTGAACCTTCCCTGGAGAGGGATTGCATCGCAACCTATATTCGGGGACTTTTATATCGCGGCGGGAAGGGAACGAGATCCACGAACGTGACGTTTCTCTCTTTTGTCTGTTCCAGTGACGAAATTCATCCGTATTGGAATAGCTGACAAGAACGACAATCCGCCTTATTTCGACAAAGGCCTCTACGAGGCTGAAGTAGACGAAAATGAGGATATCCAGCACACGGTACTCACTGTCACCGCCAAAGATCACGACGAGTGTAAGTGGACACATATGCAAATACGTGAGGACGGTTTTCCTTCCTTTTTTTAATTTCACTGAATCTTCCCTGAAAGAATCCGTTTAATACGAGCAGGAGGATGATAACGCGTGTAACCTTCTCTCGCGAAAACGTTGGATGGAATTAAATTTCTTTCCTTTTTTTTTTTAATTATAAATAAAATTGTCACGAATGGAGGGAAATAATTTTCACTCGATCGTAAACGTTAATAACTTTGTCCCTAGATTTAAGTTGCCTTTCTCCGTTCCTAATAACGAATCTATTACTCGATCTCAAAGTTCTATAACCTGGGTAACGAAGTTTCGCTAAAATCCATTCGCCTTTTCTCGACTCGGCATCGAGGATGGGACATAAACAGTTCACGAAACTTTAAATATCGGATAGCTCGAGCAGAGTCACGAAATATATTTATCCGATGGACCTCGATTAACAAGATCCAGCTCGCTCCCCGCTGCTTGATTACAGGCTTTTTCTTTTCTTCTCTTCTCTTTTTTTCTTTAAGTAAAAGAAAAAAAAAAGAAACTAATTTCTTCGCTACCTACTCACGGGGATCGAGCGATGATCCCCGGGGAAATTTAAAGAAATCGATCGATTTAACGAACCTTACTGTCCAAACGCAAAATCGAGAGTAAATCGATCGCGCAAATGACACGCGAATGAAATTTCACAGCGGATCTTTTTTTGAATATTTCCACCCAGAGATATATCTCTCGCGTGAGATCGCAAATTTTCCCAAAGCCTCGAGACCTTGTTCCGAATAATCCCCAAGACTTTGCCCCGAATAATCGCGGGTCGTCCTCTCGTCTCGCTTCCCTACGTGCTCAAACTTGTTGTTTGGAACTTAATAATGGAGCACTTTTCGAAATTTAAATCAGTTGTTGTTTCGTACTTATTTCGCATTTCGCTAAGTACATTCTCTCTCTCTCTTAAGAGTCTTTTTCTTAAGCTAAGTCGTTAAGCAGGAACGCTTTAAAGACGTTTAAAGACGTGGCGTGCTCGACGCCATACACACACACGGTAAGAAGGAGAGGAGAGAAGAAGAGGAATTCATCCGTGAAACTCCATTGTGAAATTGATGTTTTTCTGCATTTTACAGCCTCGCGTATTCGATACGAGATTACGAGCGGTAACATAGGCGGTGCATTCGCCGTGAAGAATATGACTGGCGCCATCTATGTCGCGGGTGCGTTAGATTACGAGACGAGGAAAAGGGTAAGTATGTTACGATGCGTTGCGAGAAAAACATTGACGGCGATGCGAAAGAGGAACGAAAGTCTTCGATGTTGATCCTTTTAACCGTGTTCCAAACCCTCGTTTCGTTACTTTCGATTAAATCGTGGAAATTAAAACTTTGTATTCTAATATCATTAGAATTATTAATATTTCATTTCACTGATCCGTTATTGATTTAATAAATCTTTCTCGTTTCGAGACAAGTTTATGGTAAAGTTTTCGTGAATCAGAAATCGTTTCGATTATTTTTTAAATAACGATTTCACTTTGAAAAAAAGCTCTTGTTCCTTTTAACCATGTTCTCATTTCGTTACTTTCGATAAAATCGTGGAAATTAAAACTTTGTATTCTAATATCATTAGAATTATTAATATTCTATTTCACTGATCCGTTATTGATTTAATAAATTTTTCTCGTTTCGAGACGAGTTTATGGTAAAGTTTTCGTGAATCAGAAATCGTTTCGATTATTTTTTAAATAACGATTTCACTGTGAAAAAAATGCTCTTGATCCTTTTAACCATGTTCTCATTTCGTTACTTTCGATAAAATCGTGGAAATTAGAATGTTAAAACTTTGTATTCTTTATAATATTATTAGAATTATTAATATTCCATTTCACTGATCCGTTATTGATTTAATAAATTTTTCTCGTTTCGAGACGAGTTTATGGTAAAGTTTTCAGAGAAATCAGAGGAATCAGAAATAATAATTTCGAAATAACGATTTCACTTTCAAAAAATCAATGATAACGAATCCCTCGGTATATTGTTTAAAGTTTAACCCGTTTCTTGAATAGTTTGTAGCATCGCAAGGGAACTTCATCAGGCCGCTGTTTTTATAACTCTCATTAAACGTGAAGTGATCTCATTTCTTGTAAATCTTTTTCTACGCCATTAAACGAACTACGGCGATGTTTCATCTTTATAAACTCTTTTATCAAAAAGTTACGTTAAAGCCGTAACTTTCGCGTGTCTAATTTCTAAAGCTTATCAAAAAATGAACTCTCTCTATTTTTTCTTTCTCTCTCTCCCCCTTTTCCTTTATACATCCCCCATAAATCGTTGGCCTTCCAGAACCGCTTCCATTATTCCCAGAAAGAGACCGCTGCCGTCGGTGCAGTTGCTCGGGTCAGCCGCAAACACTGTTATCCACTTGTCCCGCTTTAATCTTGCAGTACGAGCTCCGCCTCACCGCGTCTGATAACTTGAAAGAAAATTACACGACGGTGGTGATACACGTGAAGGACGTGAACGACAATCCGCCCGTCTTCGAACGTCCGACTTACAAGACGCAGATCACCGAGGAGGACGACAGGACTTTGCCTAAACGAGTCCTCGGGGTAATTATGTCCTTCTTAACTCGATCAAACGAATTTTCCAAAGAGCTTCGCAATTACTCGAAAGAAAACCAATCCTATCCCACCGCGCGCTCCTTCGATTTCGCTTTTCATTCGATCGGGCGCAGATATATTTTATATATCTATATATATATATTTCGACTTATTAAAACTGAAAAAATTCTCTACTTCAAAGAATATGTGTAAAATATGGATTGATATATAGATATATGTATGTATATGGAATATAAAATATACAGAATACGTGAGGTACAGAGAGTGGAACGCGAAATGTAAAATGTGCGATCAAAGCACGTGAAAATCACGTATGGCGCTCTCCGCCGACTGAAAACAGAGAACGTGAAAACGTGAAAACGTTTTTCGCATAGATATCAATTTGTCGTTTTAATGAATCCAGAGTACATATCGGAGGTAGTCCAGCGTTGTCAACTCTTTTTGAAACAGGTGACGGCGACCGATGGCGACAAGGACAGGCCACAGAATATCGTCTACTTTTTAACCGGACAGGGTATCGATCCTGACAATCCAGCGAACAGTAAATTCGACATCAACCGCACCAGCGGAGAAATTTACGTTCTAAAGGTGATTAACGCAACCTCTCCCCCCCGTCTTTCAGTTCAGCTTGCTCGATCTCCGTTAAAAAAGAGGAAAAAGAAATTCTTTCTCTCTATTCTTCTCTATCCTGCTTGCAACGGAAATAGAGAAAGAGAGGGAAGATATGAAATCCTTCACATTTTCGATTTTCTCAGCCGCTGGACAGGGATCAACCGAACGGGAGGCCGCAGTGGCGGTTCACGGTGTTCGCTCAAGACGAAGGTGGGGAGGGTTTGGTCGGATATGCCGACGTGCAGGTGAACCTGAAGGATATCAACGACAACGCGCCCACTTTCCCCCAAGGAATTTACTTCGGCAATGTGACGGAGAACGGAACAGCGGGTAACAGCGTCTCGTCTCGCTTTTTCTCGATTCAATTTTTCTTTTCCTTTTTTTTTTTTTTTGGAATAATTCTCGATTTCTCGTTGCTTCTCGTTCCAGGAATGGTCGTGATGACGATGACGGCGGTCGACTACGACGACCCGAGCGAGGGTACGAACGCGAAATTGATTTACTCGATCGAGAAGAACGTGATCGAGGAGGAGACCGGCTCGCCCATCTTTGAGATCGAATCGGATACAGGCGTGATAAAGACGGCGGTGTGCTGTTTGGACAGAGAACGGACACCGGATTATTCCATACAAGTGGTAGCTATGGACGGAGGGGGGTTGAAGGGTGAGTGGAAAGGTGGTGATACAAGGGAGAATGAGGGGAGAGATGGTTTCGCTCCATCGAGTTCCCGTTCTCTGATATTTCCGCGATTGTGCGTCTAGGGACGGGGACAGCGTCTATACGAGTGAAAGATATAAACGACATGCCTCCGCAATTCACAAAGGAGGAATGGTTCACCGAAGTGGACGAGACGGAAGGGCCAGATCTGCCGGAAATGCCGATACTCACGGTCACTGTACACGACGAGGACGAGACCAATAAGTTCCAGTATAAAGTACGTTGTCCTTTTTTCGCTCCATTTCGATTTAGAAAGGAATAGAAAGAAAGAAGAAACGAAGAATTTTATTTGTGATTTGTGATCCAGGTGATCGAAAGTAGCGGCTACGGTGCCGACAAATTCACCATGGTGAGAAATAACGACGGCACCGGCTCTCTCAAGATCGTGCAATCGTTGGACTACGAGGACCAATTGCAGAGCAACGGTTTCAGGTTTAGGATACAGGTCAACGACAAGGTATATATATATATATCTCCTGAAAATTTTTTTTAGATCGACGAATTTCCCCGTTTAAAGTCACCTTTTTCATCTTCTTCATCCTCAGGGGGAAGACAACGACAACGATAAATATCACGTTGCCTATTCGTGGGTGGTGGTGAAACTGCGCGACATAAACGATAATCAGCCTCAATTCGAGAAAGCGAATATCGAGACCACGGTGCCGGAGAACGCTCGTATAGGGAACAGTCTGGAAACGTTCAAAGCCACCGACCCCGACCAAGGTGGTAAGAGCAAGGTGTACTACTCGATCGACAGAAGCTCCGACCGTAAAAGGCAGTTCTCCATCAACGAAAACGGGACGGTGTCGATCCAGAGGAGTCTCGATCGCGAGGAAACCCCGAGGCATCAGGTAATTATTGTTCTTCCAATTCTGCCCTCATCGCCGCCCCAAAAGACAATTGGTTCGTTTTCTCGCGAAGGTGAAAATCTTGGCCATCGACGACGGTATTCCGCCGAAAACGGCGACGGCGACGTTGACCGTGATCGTGCACGACATAAACGACAATCCGCCCCGATTCCTCAAGGATTATCGGCCCGTGTTGCAAGAGCACTCCCAGCAGAAGAAAGTGGTGGAGATTTCGGCGACGGACGACGACGATCGATCGAAGAGCAACGGGCCGCCGTTCACTTTCAGGATGGATCCTAAGGCGGACGACGTGATTCGTGCCAGTTTCAAAGTTGAGAGCGATAACAGTGAGTTGTGTGGATGCGCGAATCGCGTCCAATTGGGGGGGAAACGATTGTTGGCCCCTTGGATAGTTGCTACGTTGATAACGAACGGCCGGCTTTTTCTTTCGTTGCAGAGGGGGCGAACGGGGACGGTATGGCCATTGTTTCCTCGTTACTGTCGTTCAACAGAGAGCAACAAAAGGAGTACTTGATACCGATCGTTATCAAGGACACCGGGACTCCGTCTATGTCTGGGACCAGTACTTTAACCGTTATTATCGGGGATATCAACGATAACAAAATGCAGCCAGGATCGAAAGACATTTTTGTATATAATTACGCAGTACGTCCTCCATCATTTTCCCACGTTTCTCCGTCGTTAATTTAACCCTTTGCGCTCGAATCATTTGAATTGATGCGATATTTAAGCATATATTATAATTTAAGCATGGAATAATAATGAGATTACTTCGAAGATGAGTTGATGATTTTTCGTTATCGAATCATTTGGATTGATGCGACGATATTTATTTAAGTTTGATTCTTTTAAAATATCGCTTCGCGAATAAATTCTTAAGCTCTTTTCGTATAATCTTATAAAGAATAATATGCTGTCGAATGATTCTTTTGCCTCAAATTAGATCAAACTACGTTTTCGGCGTTAATGGCGATAGAAATGTTATTTTCAAGGTGTTTTAATTTTGTAAGCATGGAATAATAATGAGATTACTTCGAGCGAAGATGAGTTGATGATTTTTCGTTATCGAATCATTTGGATTGATGCGACGATATTTATTTAAGTTTGATTCTTTTAAAATATCGCGAATAAATTCTTATTTTTTGTATAATCTTATAAAGAATAATATGCTGTCGAATGATTCTTTTGCCTCAAATTAGATCGAACTACGTTTTCGGCGTTAATGGCGATAGAAATATTATTTTCAAGATTTTTTAATTTTGTAAGCATGGAATAATAATGAGATTACTTCGAGCGAAGATGAGTTGATGATTTTTCGTTATCGAATCATTTGGATTGATGCGACGATATTTATTTAAGTTTGATTCTTTTAAAATATCGCGAATAAATTCTTATTTTTTGTATAATCTTATAAAGAATAATATGCTGTCGAATGATTCTTTTGCCTCAAATTAGATCGAACTACGTTTTCGGCCTTAGTGGCGATAGAAATATTATTTTCAAGGTGTTTTAATTTTGTAAGCATGGAATAATAATGAGATTACTTCGAAGACGAGTTGATGATTTTTCGTTATCGAATAACCAAATTATTTCTATTCGTTAAGAAATTGACGATGGAGGGAAAATAGCGATGAAAATAGAGATGTGGTATTAAAAGGTGAAAAATAGGAATAATAGGTGAATGTGAGAGCACGTTATAGGGATATTAGTTCAAAATGAGTTTTTCGTAATTAAATAACGAAATTATTTCTGTTTATTAAGAAACTGACGATAGAGAGAAGGAAAATAGCGATGAAAATAGAGATGTAGTATATAGAATGAACATTATTGGGATTATAAAGTTTGCTTTCAATAAAATAAAAAAAATAAAAGACATTTTATCGCGATTGCAAACCGAGGACGCATCTTAGTATTTACTACATTATTAAAATATCACGCGAAACAACGATATAGACTTAAACATTCGACAAATTTTCTTTCTTTACGCGTAAACACACACAAAATATTAGAATGTAAAAAATTTATCCGTTAATTCGTTCATTTTAAGTTAGCTAGTTGTTGATTCGAGTGCAAATGTTGAACAACGTTACAACAAAATGGCGAACGTAACGTAATTCCCCTTGGCAGGGACAATCACCGGACACGGAAATAGGCAGAGTTTACGTCTTCGATTTGGACGATTGGGACCTACCCGATAAGAAATTTTATTGGGAGAGTTTGGAACACGCTCAATTTAAATTGGACGAGGACACGGGGATGATATACATGAAATCGGGTACCCACGACGGTAGATACCATTTACGTTTCAAAGTGTACGATCGGAAGCACACGCAAACGGACGTCCCGGCGAACGTGACGGTCACCGTGAAAACTATACCGCACGAGGCTGTGCTGAACTCTGGTTCCGTTCGGATATCAGGCATAACGGATGAAGATTTCATCCGTATTTGGGATTACAAGGTATCTAAGGAAAGAGAGAGAGAGAGAGAGAGAGAGGGAGAAATTAAAAAATTCGAGACAATTTTTGATCGATTCGATTCGATTGTTCCAGTCGCAAACTACGTCGCGAAGTAAAGCGGAATTATTCAGGGACAAATTGGCGCATTTGTTGAACATCGACAGGGAGAACGTGGACGTGTTCAGCGTCCAGTTGCGCAGGATACATCCCCCGTTGACGGACGTGAGATTCGCGGCGCACGGGTCAACGTATTACAAACCTGTCAGATTGAACGGAATCGTGTTGATGCATCGGGAGGAGGTGAGATATATATATATTAGATTGGAAAGAAAGTTCTTCTTATTTTAAATGCTTTATTTTTTGACTTTGTATATAATTTTAAAATGCATTTTTCTGTGTGAAAATGTGATACTTACTTTTATTTTCAAATTAATTTTTCTCAGGGTGTTGAAAACATAATGGACAAGAAGCAAATTCGAACAATTTTTCTATTCCAGTCCCAGGACTCCAGAATTTTATTCAGAATAACAAAATTTGTTTCTCATTGGCAATGGTCTTTATTTTGATTAATAAAGTTTCCTTTGAGCTAACTGCATTTGAATTTAATAATTAAAAACCGCAAGAACAACTTTCTTTCCAATCTAATATAAACCAGATCCGTCGACAATTCGAACTACTTTAAACAAGAGGAAGTGAAACTCGATATATATACATATATTAGATTGGAAAGAAATTCTTACGATTTTTCTTATTTCGATTTTAAATGCTCTATTTTTTGACTTTGTATATAATTTTAAAATGCATTTTTCTGTGTGAAAATGTGATACTTACTTTTATTTTCAAATTAATTTTTCTCAGGGTGTTGAAAACATAATGGACAAGAAGTAAATTCGAACAATTTTCCTATTGCAGGACTTCAAAATTTTATTCAATTCGGAATAACAAAACTTATTTCTTCTTGGCAATGGTCTTTATTTTGATTAATAAAGTTTCTTTTGAGCTAACTTTATTTGAATTTAATAATTAAAAACCGCAAGAAGAACTTTCTTTCCAATCTAATATAATATCAGATCCGTCGACAATTCGAACTACTTTAAACAAGAGGAAGTGAAACTCGATATATATTAGATTGGAAAGAAATTCTTACGATTTTTCTTATTTCGATTTTAAATACTCTATTTTTTGACTTTGTATATAATTTTAAAGTGCATTTTTCTGTGTGAAAATGTGATACTTATTTTTATTTTCAAATTAATTTTTCTCAGGCTGTTGAAAACATAATGGACAAGAAGTAAATTCGAACAATTTTCCTATTGCAGGACTCCAGAATTTTATTCAATTCGGAATAACAAAACTTGTTTCTCGTTAACAAAAGTGCATTGATTGCAATGGTCATTATTTTGATTAATAAAGTTTCCTTTGAGCTAAGTGCATTTAATAGTTAAAAACTGCAAGAGGAACTTTCTTTTCAACCTAATATAAAGATCCGTCGACAATTCGAACAACTTTAAACGATTGATAAATTAACGATGTTTAGATCGAGAAGGAGGTCGGTATCAACATAACCATGGTGGGGATCGACGAGTGTTACTACGAGAACGAAGTGTGCGAGGGTAGTTGCACGAATACGTTGGACATTAGCAGCTTACCTTACATGGTGAACGCGAACAGAACGGCCCTGGTCGGCGTGCGGGTGGACGTAATCGCCGAGTGTACCTGCGGGGCGCGAAACTTCAGTAAAGGGGAATCCTGCAGGAGCAGCCCTTGTTACAATGGCGGCCGTTGCGTGGAGGGGAGATTCGGATTGTCGTGAGTTGGAAAATTACAATATATATATATATATTATAAATTAAAAATTATAAATTATAAATTACATATATATATCGCAATGATCACGATCTACGCGAATTTTTCAATCGGTGTCAGGTGCCAGTGTCCAGCCGGGTACAACGGTCCAAGGTGTCAGCAAACCGCGAGAAGTTTTCGCGGGAACGGATGGGCGTGGTATCCGGCTCTTGAAATGTGCGACAACAGCCATTTGAGCTTCGAATTCATCACGAAGAAGCCCGACGGATTGTTACTGTACAATGGCCCCATAGTTCCTCCCGAAGCTGACGAGATTATGGTCTCCGGTGAGCAAGATGAGATAAGTTATACGTTGGTATATCGTTGCGCGGGGTGAAAAGAAAAATAGAAAGTATTTTCACCGTTTACAGACTTTATATCCGTCGAGCTGGAACGTGGGATACCGCGGCTATTGATAGACTTCGGTTCCGGCACGTTGGAATTGAAAGTGAAACCGAAGAGGACATTGGACGACGGGGAATGGCACAGGCTCGACATATTTTGGAACACGGAGGTTTGGAGACAGAGTTTCGATTAAAAATTAAGGATGCAATTTTTAAAGATCTTGAAATTTGTCGTTTCATTTTCGTGGGAACAGACGGTGAAATTAATCATCGACTACTGCAAGTCGGCGGACATCTCGGAACCGGAGGACGGCACGCCGCCAGAGTTCAACGACACCAGCTGCCAAGCGCAAGGGACTATACCACCGTTCAACGAGTACCTGAACGTGAACGCCCCCCTACAAATCGGTGGTTTATACGTGGAGCAATTCGACCCGACTCACTACAAGTGGAAGCACATGCCGGTCGGCAAAGGTTTCGACGGGTGTATCAAGAATCTGTTCCACAACAGCAAGCTCTACGACCTGGCGCATCCCGGCCTGTCCAGGAACAGCGTGGCCGGCTGCCCCCAGACCGAGGAGATATGCAACAATCAGGAGTCCACGTTCCGTTGCTGGGAGCACGGCACCTGCGTGGGAAGCTTCGCCGAGGCCAGATGCCAGTGCAACCCGGGATGGACCGGGCCTGGGTGCATGACGCCCACCATACCAACCACGTTCAAGCCGCAGAGTTACGTTAAATACGCCTTGTCCTTCGAGCCGGATAAATATTCCACGCAAGTGCAACTGAGATTCCGAACTCGAGAGGTCCACGGCGAATTGTTCAGAGTGAGCGACCAGCACAACAGAGAGTACGCCATCTTGGAGGTATTTATCGCTTTTATCGATTTTAGATAATAATAATTTTTGATAATAATAATTTGAAACAAATCGAACAATTTCGTCGAGAAAACAATTTTTTCTAGATCAAGGACAGCAGACTGCACTTCCGCTACAATTTGAACAGTCTGAGAACCGAGGAGAGGGATATATGGTTGACGGCGATAGCTGTGGACGATGGACAGTGGCACACGGTTAGAGTGTCGAGATACGGATCGGCCGCCACGTTGGAGTTGGACGGGGGGGAAGGGAGAAGGTTCAACGAGACCTTCTCCTTCGAGGGGCATCAGTGGTTGTTGGTGGACAAGCAGGAAGGAGTTTTCGCTGGTGGCAAGGCTGAGTATACGGGGGTAAGGACGTTCGAGGTGTACGCCGATTACCAGAAAGGTGAGTAAGAATTTTTTTCCTTTTTAAATTTTTACGATCGTTCGGGGAAGGGAATGATCCTGATTGAAAAGAATCTATCCGTCCCGGAAATAGGATGTCTCGACGACATAAGGTTGGAGGGGAAGCATCTCCCGTTACCACCCGCCATGAATGGAACGCAATGGGGTCAAGCGACGATGGCCAGAAACTTGGAAAGGAATTGTCCCTCGAACAAACCTTGCGCGAACGTCATTTGCCCGGAGCCATTCGAATGTATCGATCTTTGGAACGAGTACGACTGCACGTGAGTGTAATCGACGTTTGACGATTTTAACGGGTTGCGATTCGATTGTACGAATTGTACGAATGCTCTTTCGTACTTAGATGCGGGGAAGGGAGGATTCCGTCGCCCGACAATAAAGGATGCATGGACAAGAACGAATGTATAGATTATCCTTGCCTGAACGGTGGCAGATGCATCAATCAGGATCCTCGCTTCCGGTACAGATGTATCTGTCCGGATGGCTTCTGGGGGGAGAATTGCGAGCTCGTGCAAGAGGGGCAAACGTTGAAGCTCAGTATGGGAGCTTTGGCGGCTATTTTGGTTTGCCTTCTGATCATTCTTGGTACGTTGGTCGCGAGGAGGGGATCCGCGCTCTGACGGAATCAATTAAAATTATTATTTCATTTTGCAGTTCTCGTCTTGGTATTCGTCGTATACAACAGGAGAAGAGAATCTCACATTAAGTATCCCGGACCCGATGACGACGTAAGAGAGAATATCATCAACTACGACGACGAGGGTGGCGGAGAAGATGACATGACCGCGTTCGACATCACCCCCCTTCAAATTCCTATTGGCGGTCCGATACCGGAAATGGGTGGAAAACTACCACCGTGTAAAATACCCTGTGAGTCGTTTCTCTTTCTTTCTTTCTTTCTCTCTTTCTTTCTTTTTTTCTCTCTTTCTTTCTCCCTTTCTTTCTTTTTCTCTTTCTTTCTTTCTTTCTCTCTTTCTTTTTTCTCTCTTTCTCTCTTTCTTTCTCTCTTTCTTTCTTTCTTTCTCTCTTTCTCCCTTTTTTTCTTTTTCTCTTTCTTTCTTTCTTTCTTTCTCTTTTTCTTTTTTCTCTCTTTCTCTCTCTCTTTCTCTCTCTCTTTCTTTCTTTCCTTCTTTCTTTCTTTCTTTTTCTTTTTTTATTCGCGATCCATCTTGGATAGCATTTTCCGCGAGATATCCAATATCGTTTTGATTATCCTCGTTTTCCAGATACGCTAGGACCGGAACCAAACGTGGGCATATTTATAGAGGATCACAAAAAGAGAGCCGACAGTGACCCTAATGCGCCACCGTTCGACGATCTTCGAAATTACGCGTACGAGGGTGGCGGAAGCATCGCAGGCTCATTATCATCGTTAGCTTCCGGTACGTGGTGTTCTTCGTAACGTAAAAAAAAAATTAATGATATAAACAATATTCACGGATATTAATAAAATTCATACAACTAAATACGAATCATTCTTGAATAACGATTTTAAAACGAATAAATTGAAATATAAAATCCAAATATTATAATTTTATCAGACTCCTTTCAATTTTCAATATATTCTAAAATTTTTCATCCTATATAATGTTAAAAACAAGCAACTCTCGATTGAAAACCACAACTGTTATAATATTATCAAATTAATTAAAATTCAAATTATTATTTATTATCATTTCGTAGAAAAAGAATATTCGAGAATACTCGAGAATGAGAAATTTCTTTTTTTAACGAGCAGGAACCGACGACGAGCAGCACGAGTACGAGTATCTAGGTGCTTGGGGGCCGAGATTCGACAAGCTGGCCGACATGTACGGGCCAGCGGAGGAAAGCGAAGAGGAGGATTAAAAAAACTGCTCCCTGAGATCCGTAAGCTCGCACGACACCCCGTACACCCTTCAAGGAGCAACGTTCGCGTGAGCTTGAACGTCGAGAAGAAAAATTCGAAGAAGCGAGGGAAAAAAGAACGAAACGAGGATGGAGACAAAAAAGGAAGGGAAAAAAAAAAAAAAAAAAAAGTTTCCTTCGCGTTATTCGATCGACAAAGAGATTTTTTTCCCTTTCGTTCACACGAAACACGTGCACACGTTTCCGGGATACACGCATATTTTCCTCGATGCGAACAGAAGAACGAGGCGGTATCTATGTGTGCGGTAGAGGTGTGCGTCATGATTTACGAGAGAGAAATGAAAAGAAAGGGGAGTAGTATTACGGAAAGAGAGAGAGAGAGAGAGAGAGAGAAAAGATCGTCTGGCCAAAGTTTTAAAGAAAAAAAAAGAAAAAAGGAAAAAAAGAAAAAAAAAAAAAAAAGAAAAAGAAAACGTAGCAACTCGTCGAAGACGAGATCTCTCGGAAAGATAAATATATATATATATATATAAAAAAAACGGATAAAAAACGTGTGGGATAAACTGGCCACACCGTAGTAGGTAAGTACGCGTAAGTACACCTACAAGGGTGTAACCTATCTGTATAGCACGTTACGCGTACACGTACAGTAGTGAATTCGCGCGTGTTCTGCCTTGCGCACGCGAGACTTTTCTATTAATAAAATAAATCTATATATATATTATATATATACGATTCATTATTTTTAGTCACAGTCATAGTTACTATTTAATCGGTAAAACCGACCTAAGTGTCTCGGTATTCGAAACTATCGTCGGCGCGATCAGCATCGGTTCTACTGAAATTATGAACCCGTGAACACGTTACTACTGCCAGCCGTGCGCGTGATAAAGAGTCGTTTTCGTTTTTACCTCGTGGCGCGGGTCACGTCACCAAGTGATCGTGGCACGCGAGATACCTTTAAGGGCATTTTCTCATTTATATCCGTCTCTTCAAACTCCTCCCCTCCCCCCTCCCCCTCCTCCCCTCCCGCATATATATATATATATATATACACACACACATACGTGCATACATACATACACACATATACCTGATCTCACACCTATGCCAAAGTTGGCCCCCGGATGTCAGAGAATGGAAGAGAAAGAATGGTGAAAATATACATTTGGGCGCGATTTTTCCGTTTCTCACGCGAACGCGCATCGGCTAACGATCTATCCCCAAAAAATATGTGACGATCCAACAACCTTTACCTTTTCACGTGCAATCACGTGAAAGATATCGAATTTGTGTTGGGTGTGTAATGGAATCCTAATGGCAGATTCGTGGCGCCTTCCTGGTTCGCGATATGCGGACGATTCCTAATGTGGTCTATCTATAATAAAAAAGAGAGAGAGAAAAAAAGAAATATAAGACTATTTAAGAGAGAGAGAGAGAGAGAGAAAGAGAGACACGTTTAGCTGTTGTTCGCGAGTCGTGAACCATCCTCATCGTTGTCATCGTCACCAGCATCCTCATTAATTATTGATAGTATTATTATTGACATTACGATATAAATATATATATTATAAATATGGATTTATAAATAAATGAATGAATAAATATAAATATAAATATATATATATAGAGAGAGAGAGAGAAAGAGAGAGAGAAAGAGAGAGAAAAAGAAAGCGCACGGCGGAGGACAAAGGGTACAGCAACGTGTGGGGCGCACGAAAGTCCGCGAAATAACAAATTCCGAGAGTTACCGCGCGTATATGTAATTATTAATATTATATAACGAATAATAAATATAAATATAAATATATATATATAAGTATATATTTATATATACTTATATTTATATATACTTATATATATTATATATAAAAGAATATGAATACAAACGAAAGACACGTAAAGAGGAGAGGATTAAAAAGTGAAAAAAAGAAAAAAAAAAAAAAAGAGAAAAAAATACCAAAAACAGAGAAAGAGCGCGAGATATGACCGGTTGTCGAGAAAAAGCTCACGATTCGAAATCTCGACATAGCGATTCAATATTTATTTTCTATCGATGATCGAATCGGTCAGGGGATAAGTTCCGATTCAATGAAAGGTGAGAAGAGAAAAGAAGAGAAAATGAAAATGAAAAAGAGAGAGAGAATGAGAGAAAATCGGCGAGCCTACGAAAGAGAAAAGGAGACGAGAGGAGATGTGGTTACTTACGTCACGACCTCGATCAAACAAATGTTTCCGATCCCCCATTCGATTTTCGACGAACGTCAATCCTGTTTTGACGTCGCTCGTGTGGCGACGGGGTAGAGGCAAAACGGGGTCGAACCCATTCCCATCTCTTGCACGCGCGTGTATGTAATCTCGACTGATTTGTAAAATTCTCTACGGAAATATTAATAGTCAATTTATCGGTTAGGTGATGCCCCGTCGGATCCGAGCGGGATCCGGGCGTAGCGTTTAAGCACTTGTACGAATATTGTAAGTAACGTCGTGTATTTCGGTGTCCCGGTGCCGCTCGTAATGCGCCGCGATCGGTATCGAGCATCTCTATATAATTCTCCTCACAACAACATTCGTCGTCTTATCGTATCGTTTCCCGCCGATATATTTGTGATATGTTTACGTTTCCCCCCTTTAGTCGACCTACCTATACATATACATATATATATATATAAATATAAATATCTGTTCCTCCTGCGAGCCGCGAAAACATCGAGAAACACATCGAAATCGAGAAACACTTGTCATCGCGTCGAACAAGCCTATATCCTATATAAATATATATATATAAAAATTCGATCTTTCCTCAGCGTCGAACGAAGATTCATTCGAGAGTACGATATTCGTTTCTGATATAACTATATATATATATATATACGACCGTGTTCGCGTATTTTCTTCCTTCTGAAAATCGTATTGTACAGAATTCGTTATCTATCTATATTGCTACCCTCCCGTGAAAAAACGTTTCTCGATGTTGATAGGTTCGATTCATGATAAGTTGAATTTACCGTGGTTTCATTAATCTCACCGTCCTCCTTCGTATATCACATTCACGTACACACATACATACACAGACACACACACACGTATTTCGTTTCTCCGGCCATTCTCCTATATCGTCGATTTCACCCCGCCAAGTAGTTTCTAAGCAGAGACAGTATTCGACGGATACGGCGTTTATATAGGAGGACGAACGTTTATCGTTGAGTAATAACCTATAATGAGTTGAGTAGCGCGCAAGGGCGCGCACGTGTGTGTGCAGTGGCAAAAAGGAAGAAGAAGAAAATAAAAATGAACGGAAATGTTGTTTCACGCGATTGTTCGAAAAGGATAAATCGCGTGATCGAAACAACCCTCGATTTCTTGGAGATTGGCTTTCCACGGATAGATACGGACGAGTCCTCTTAAGATACGTACCTTACTCTTAGCCTTACTCTTTCCCTCGATTGATAAGACAAGAGAGAAAAAAAAAAAAAAAAAGGAAATGTTAATTTTTCGATGTAAAATCTCGAATCGAAGTAATCATCGAATTAATATTGCATTAGAATAATATATCAGGAGAATATAATGTATCGTGTTTTCACGTTACGTGCGTACGTTCATTTATCAGGCAGTAGAAACGTGGCTCTAAAAAAAAGGAAAAAAAAAAAAAAAAAAAAATTAGAAAAGAAATGATGAATTTTCTTTAAAAAACTCTTCGTTAAATTTAAGAGAACGATGTGTATGATGTAATATATAATTTAACGAGATCTAAATGTCATAGTAAAGTCAACTTCCGAGATTTGGCAAAAGTGTGAGAAATCTTTCCATTCGCTTGACCTAGGCACCTCGAAAAACTTTGGCACGATACCAAACAAGGGCGCAGTTCAATTACCTTACGAACCGCGGATCAACGAAATAATTAAGTACAGGAAGCAATATTTTCATTCTTATATAAAATTTTCATATATCCCATTGTATATGTTTCGAAGTGGATTAAAGAAAAAAATTTGTACGTGCAAAAGATTGAACATCCCCGATTAATTGACGGATTACGACGAGCGTACGAGAAACATTTTCATACACGTAATAACGATAATAAATAAATAAGATATTCGACGAGAATTACGAGATCTAATGAAAATCTTGTCTTGTTGTAAGATTTTTTATTAAACTTTGCTGAAACTTTACTCGATATTGCGTATTTGTTGATATATATTTTTATATAACGTTAAAACGGAAGCAGTTCGTAAGGTGCATAAAATGGGAATATCGTTAGGACCATTCCAACCATCGAATCCAAAGTATTAAGATTTCTAATGAGGATGATCTTACATTACTTTAAAAATAAGTATTTACGATTTTATTTGCCACTTGGAGCAAAAGAGCGTGCTTGATCTTTTTGTGAACGTGGCAAGGAGACGACACGCGGAAAATTATTATTAACGATGGTAATTATTAAAAATACGAAAAAATCGATAGAAAGAAATAAAAGGAAAACGTTTCTTTTTTCATTCTCATTCTCGTAGATGAAATCGAAACCCGGTTATTATTTTTAAGCTCTAGAAGCTTATACAGTTTTCGTTTAACGATTGATCATTCGATATATACGTAATCCTCTCGTCTCGATCAAATAAGAAATTTTACTTTATCACGAATATTTGTAAATTTTCTCTTTGCATTTTCTTTAACGTTATTCTTCGTTTCTAAATAAAAATAATAGATTTCTCAAATTGATTGATTTCTCGATGTACGTGTAAATGTTGAAATGTGCGACGAGTAAATGAGTCTAGGGAATCAGATACCTGTAAATTTTGTAGAAAAATTGTGAATATTTTTAGCGTTTCTTTATTTACTCACTTGTAACAATTAAACCCGTATCAATCATCGATGCGTTAACTTCACGATGTGCATGTGCATAATCTATATATCAATCGTAGAAGATAATTTATCACGCGAAACGAATTTAATTTCATCGAATCATACATTTTGTACAAAAAAAAAAGAAAAGAAAAAGAAGAAGAAGAAGAAGAAGAAGAAAAAGAAGAAGAGAAGAAAAGGGAAGAAAAGAAAGAAGAGTTCTCAGGATCGACTTTTTTTTTTTTTTTTTTAGCAATATCATTTATATACCCACACGGAAATAATCGCATCTCGATAAACTTTACAACCGTCGAATTGCTTTAACGAGTTAACGATCAGTGTCGATCGATATTATAAGTTAAGATACCATTTCAATCGCATACACGGCTCAACTTTTTTATCGAGAACGAGTTGGCACGCGCGAAACAGAAGGATTTTTCGAAAGGAATCAAGGGGCGTAAACGAAAGAAATGGCGAATAAATAAATAAATAAATAAATAAATAAATAAATCGAAGAAGAAAAAGCGTGCTCATGCTTATGATTGGAGATGTCATTGTCGAGATTGGAGGGCGACGATCGAACGAACGATCGATCGAGGCGATCCAGTTTTCCAATCGAGGCGAAAAATAAATCCGAATACGAGAGGAAGCGAGACGAAAGAAACGGGAAAGGAACGGCGAAGCCTCCTCGTTTCGAAACGAGAGGGAAATGACGGCCACGCGAGCTCATTTTACATATCTGTACAACTTTTTCCAAGCACTGCCTAATCGTGCACAAAGAAGAACAGAGGCCGGATTTCTCGTGCCTCGATCCCGAAATAATTACGTATTGAAAACGGAGCGATGCTAAAGTTAATTTTACAACGGCACTAGTCCGCTTGATCGAATGCCTCAGCGACGAGAAAAAAAAAAAGGGGGGAGAAAAAAAAAAAGAAAAAAAGAAAAAAAAAACATTTCTTATCACCTTATAAATTTCGGAATTCTTTCTAACTCTCTCTCTTTGTTCGTTGTTTGTCAAGATCCGAACACACACGCTTTTCCCAACGAACATGAATTTGCGTATTTGCGATGTGCGAGCGAGCGTGTAAGCGTTGTTGTCACATCGAAAAAAACGAAACGTTGCTCGATCGGATCGAAAATATTCGATTGGATGATGCGCACCCTTTTGGATCTATATTTGAGAAAAAAAAAAAGAAAAAAAAGTTGCCATTTTTCGAAACGATTCTAGTCACCCATCTTTATCGGGATTTAATTAGCTTCGATCAAACGTTTCGATTTTTATCTTCTTGTAGAATTTTATATATATATATATACTTTATTCCGTATTAATGTAACGATATTTCAAAGCGTATTTTCCTTTGAGATAAATTTTACGATCGATCAAATAATTAATATAATAAGAGTGCACTGCCATCCAATTTCTGAATATTTCCGAATTTCGAAGCGAGCACTTTTTCGCATTGTCTTTTGATCAGCGCTCCCTTCCCCCTCCCCCCTCCCCCTTATCTCCCTTCTCCCCTTCCCCGCCCTCCCTCCGGAAAAATCGATAATTTAATATACGAGAAATACGAGAAAGTCAGTGTGGCGCGAAGAAGAGGAGAGAAAAGAAGAGAGGTGTATCGAGGAAGAATCGCGTTGATGTAATCGAGGGGCCGACAATCGTTACCAGCCAGTCGGTCAAGGGAGAATGGAGACAAAAAAGCATTGTAATATATTAGACTTCGATGACAAAAAAAAAAAAAAAGAAAAGAAAAGAATGATCATAACGCTGCCACTGAACACATCCCGTGTAGTACAATTACCGTATATATAATATTCCACAGTATACTGGTAACACACTGTATTATTAATTGAATTGAATATTTATTAACGATTAATTATTACATTATTACCACTATATTATCTATACCATTTGTACTTTGCATTTCAGTTCGAACGAAATAAATGCCTTCTTTTTCATAAAAATAAAACCATCCTCGTGTTTTAAATTATATCCCTTCAGATATAAATGGATAAATGTTTTTTTTTTTTTTTTTTTTTTTTAGTTTTTTTTCAGAGTGTTAAAGAAAATTTGAAAAATGGAAATACGAAAGATAAGTGAAAAATTAAAACGACTTACCCGAAAAGTAGTTAAAAATTGGTTCCAAATTATGCAAATGTTTAATTTACAGATTAGTCTACATTTGTAATTCTATAAAAACATACAGTACAGTTTCCTTCTCTTAACTTCTACGTAAGACTAAATGTTAATTATCTGTTACTTTTACTACGTTTTCTTCTACGAACTTTGCAACGACAAACTTCGGTTCCTTTGTTCAAGAATGGAAGCTCTTGTTGCAATCTCGCTCTCAAGTTTCCCATTAGATGAGTCGCGAAAAGGGATATTCCAAAATCTCTGTAAAGAAAAAAAAAGAAAAAAAAAAAAAAAAAAAAAAGAAAAGTAATAAATTAATATAATATTTTGGAGGATTTTTATGAAAATAATCAATTAATGGAATGTTAATGTTATTATCTGTTTTATAAGTTACCTAAGTAAAGTGTAATCGACAGAATCCGTGATATGAAGCGTAAGCAAGAGAAACACGATTGCTGCGGTATAAGTCATGATCATCGTCAAACATTTATTCGTTGCAAACGAAATCGCTGCTTCTTCCAAGCCAAGTTGTCGAAACATCTATTTTTATAAAATCAAATCGTGTTTCATAAGAGATCATATTTATCGTACTTACTTAATGAAAAAAAATAATTATAAATATAATTTTTAAATGGCATAAAATGGACACGATATTACGTAGGATATATTGAACGGCAGTGTCTTGGTTAAAAGCACATCGATCGGTGTCCAAATACAAGCCAACGCAAATTCCAAGATAAATGCGGTGGCTAGAAACTAAAAATAAAGGAATAAAATGAATAATTGAAAAGGATTTTTATCGAATGATGAATGACAAAAATTGATCGATGATTATAACCTCGTACAACGCTAGAAAAACTAATTTTGGCTCGTGTAAATACGGTGGAAACAATGTAGAATTAGCAATAATAATATATACACCGATAGTGAAGAGGATCGAGCTAAATGGTGATCCTAAAATGAGCGATTCGCAGTCTTCGTCTTCCATGGCGTTGGCGAAACATGTTCCGAAGATCTGAAGTCCGAAAACGTTTAAAAGGAATGCCCAAAAGGTGTGAAGCAACTTTGCCATTCCTTTCCAATATTCTTCTTTAAAAATTAATTATTTTATCAAATTATCAAAAAATCCGTTCGTCACAGAATATTCAACGTTAATTAATTAATTTACGAGACGTAAATATGGATATGAATTATCTTATCGATTGTTGATGATTCGATAATCGAAAAAATAAAATAGAAGCTTTTCTTAGATTTCAGATATAAATTACAATGAACGCTTAATCAAGCAAAGAAAAAAAAAAAAAGTTGTTAAAAATTGAGGCATATAAAAAAATGGATTTTATTAAAAATATATACGTGTACATCTATAAATGTAGAAAATAATATACAGTAGACAAACACAGAAGTTAAATAAATTATATCTCCGGTTGTTTCTCTTCGTTCAGAGGATCTGTACTGCATATGAATTTGTATACGAACCAATCTGTCACTTCTGGATTTGCAAAACTGATCTTTTTTCTTTTACATTTACAAAAACCCCATAATCCATAACTTTTCTCCCTAAATAAAACATTACGATTATTAGCATCGTTTATTCCGATTATTATAATACGTACCTAACATTTTTACCATACTTACGAACCAATCTTTTTTTTTTTTTTTCGTAAAATAATATATAAATTATTATTTTATATATATATATATAAATATATATATATGTATATATATATATATATATATATATATCGAATTACATTAAAATGTCATGTCTATATCACTCTATGACATAATTGTCTCATAAAACTAAACATTACTGGTTCACTACTTGGCCCAAGTGTCCAAAATGGCATCCAGAGACTCGGTGGCATCCAACATCCATACGAATGACAAAAGGGACATGCAAAAAGCCATGTGTGTCGCGGCGCAGTCTTTCGCCATGTAATATGCAATATCACACAGAAATGAGTAACGACCCAATCCCAAAATCGCATTTAACCATATCAACTGAAAAATTAATTTTCTAAGATTTGTAAAAAAGAAAATTGCGAGGGAAATTGTGACAAGCCCGTTTAGTTTAGTCGTTAGTTGTTTTGCGTTCAAACAAACTCACACATTTACTGGACTCTTGAGTTAAACAATAAATAACGTGCATAAATGGTACCCAAATAGCTCGCGTGGCTAGATTTGTGGTCAATGCCGCTACCAACATCTGTTACATTTCAAAAGGTATACAATATCGATGTTTTTGTCGATAATTCGAACGATCAGATCTTGTTTCGTTAACGAAATAATTTACTTCGTAAATATAGAGAAGTTGAATCGGTGGCTCTTTCAAAGTTCTAGGCCAAAGTCTGTACTCCGCGAGAAGACACAGCACGGAAAATGTGAAGAGAACCGACGCGTAAGACGGATCGAATGGAGGACCATTATTGTCTTCGTCGAAACATAAACCGATTATACAGATTTGTCGAAGATGGGTGTACATTCCTGTTACCACCACAGCTATCCAATGAGGATTGATATATCCTAGGTATTCCTTCACCGTTTCCATATCCTAAAAAAATATCCTAAAAAAAACATACAATTATTAACTAATTAATTTGAAATAATTAACTAACTAATTAATTTGAAATAATTAATGTTAATGTTTTCGAAGAGAAAAGCAGAAGAAAAAAATAGAATAATGTTCAAATTAAAATTTCTCTTTTTAAAAGGTTAGGATGATTCCTGTTCTCGATTGAAAAGCGAAAAGAAGTCTTGAACACGGAAAATCATTAAGCTGTTGTACAAAGAGAAGAAACAAATAAGTTGAAAAGACACCGAGCAGCTTACCTGTTCAATGGTTGTAAAATCTAGAAATGCATTTGTGACAAGGTAATGTAACATGAGGAATATGTTCTCTCTTTAATATCCTTCTCTTGTACGATGTGGTGTAACTTTTGAAAAGTAATGCACGCGTCATGAAAATGTTACATCAAACGGATAATTCCTCCTTAGATGATTAGTTAACTGCATTTATCATTATATTAATTTTTTATACCGTTAATTTAACATTCTCATACATTTCTTCTTTCATCAGCAAGCTATAGGTTATAACATTTGTTCCACGGAGATAACAAAATTCAACGCCTCCTTCAATTTGTTCACATGATTTTGGAAAATCGTGCGATCAGCTAATTTCACACCGAATTCTTCTTAAGAAGAATTATTTACAATTGAACAATGCTGATAAAAATTCAAATTTTGCCGAAAATTGATCGAATCGAAACTCGATTTCTCGCGTTATTTAATTATTTAATTTTTCTAGAATTCTAGTCCACGTTTCAAATTAATGCGAGCTTTTTGCGTTTGCAATTTTTCTTTTACCTGTTGCCACACCTCCTCGTTTCATCATCTTTATTTTCGATATTTTGCGATCATTCAAATATAGTCAATAGAATCAATACTCAATGTGCACGTTTAAAAAAAAAATATATTATTCCATTTTCGAAAAACTGTCAAAAATTGTATCTTTTATGAAAAGTATATATATATATATATATACCGAAGTATATAAAAAAAAATCGGTCGTAAATTATGCTCGGTTATAGCGATCCTTAAGTAGGTTACATTTTCAAGGGCCGCTTTACTCGAATATCACACACACTCATACATAATGCATTACATTTGCCGATAGCTTTTCTTCTTACCGCCAAGAGAACGAATGGCTGCGAATAATACGCCATTTCTTTCTTTGCCACGACCCCTCCTTACTGTTAATCATATTAACAGTAATTTTGATGATATAACGCATAAATTATTAAAAAATAAGTAGTATTTCTTTCTTCGAATTGAATAAAAATTATATATTATTGTCAAATATGCTTTCGATGTAAAAAAAATCCGGGATATTAATAACAATTGAACGAATACAAAGCTGCTGTAAGAGAGATATGATGATTCAAAGGGCGTAGATTTCTTCTCGAGATAGAATAGACGAACAACTTTGGTCAGAGGAAATGGTGGACCATGAGACACCAGGAAATTGTCTTTCCGAGTTTGAATCCTCCTCTCTGTTAATGACATTTTCTCTGCTGTAAGAACTGTTTAAAGTTTAGTTTAAACAGATATTGAAATAATTCGACGAAGAGATGCATTCGTCTAGATAAAAAAACGGATATTAATTAATTAATTAAATAATTGTATCCTCTTCCCCTTTAATTTTGCTCCATATGTGCAATCCTTTTTTTTTTTTTTTTTTACAATTTCACACAATTACAATTCTTCGATATTAACGTAAAATCCAAATTTCTCCGTAATTATCTCGATATCGATGATCTCTAGGATGGTGTATATATTTATTTCCAACCTGTATACACCCTTTTTATCGATAACGATCTTCTCGTCGAAATGAGAAATAAAATGGCCTGATATAACGGAGGACATGTCCTCCAGAGGTGGAAGATTATCCAAGATGGTGGTAGTCATGACGACGGCACAGTGTATCGAGGAAAAGTACATTCGTTTCTTGGCTCTTCGACGAAGAGAATGAATAAGGGTAGAAGATCGAAGGAAGGGGAGCAGGTCGAAGGTGCAGGAGCAGAAGCTCGAACGAGGAAAAGTTAGTAAAAGCGGTAAAAAAGGAAAGAAAAGAATTCCTCGCTGCCCTCCTTCCACAGAGGGGCTCGGCCACTTTACTCTCCTCTCTCTTTCAATCACTTTCTTTAAGAACCATCCACCCCCATCCCTTCCGCGGCATTTATCCCACCACTTGTCGGATCACGATTTCAAATCGCGATCTATTATTTTTCGAGGGAATTAATTTGTCAAGATTAGGGAACAAAGTTGGCATTATAATTTTTATATTATATATATATATATATATATATATATATCGTGATCGATATATAATATCTATCCACCGATCTATATGATAAAATTTATTCACGATTTCATATACGTAAAATATTCTGGGCAAAATATAGAAAAGAATAACAAACAACAATAAAAGAATAATAATAATAAGATATATATCGCAATTTAATTCATTAAATTAAATGCAATAAAACAGCAATAATAAGGTAAAAAAAGTCTTTATAAATATAATCACTAGATATGTTAATGGAAGATTCCCATGTTTATCGGGTAATTTATAGGATAGGATTGTCAAGGATATCCCGTATATAAACAAATAATTTTTTTTCTTTTAATATTTAGCATTTTTATTTTCAATATATGTTTAGAAATAGATTTTCTTGGAAATACCACTTCCAATTCTCAACTTATTCTGCGCAGTTACTCAAAGGTGTGATCTGAGAGTAATTAATGACTTAAGGATAGTCATATTTTACATGTATTTTTTTTTTTTTTTTTCCAATAAAATAGATTCCAATAAAATAGATCACGTTTCTTTGTCAATTTTGAATACGAATTATCCAATCCCTGTGTCACCTTCACTCTTCTTCCTCCACGCAAATCGTATACAATCCTGGTTGACGTGGATAATAAAAAAAAAAAAAAAAAAAAATAGAATTTCAACACAAAACAATATTGTTTTCTATTTTTATCCTTTAAAAATTAAATAATAATCCTCAAACGAAAAATATCAATAATTATTTAGAATAATCATTGTATATAACATTGTATATAACATAGCCTTTGCAGAACACAGGAAATTTAATTGATTTAGAAGTTTAGAATAATCTCTAAAAATCTTTAATTTTTTATAAATAATATAAAAATATAAAAAATTAAGTTCGTTAAATCAAGAAATTATTAGAAAATTTATTAGAAAAAAATATAGACAAAGAAAAAACAAATTAACATGAAAATGATGAGAAATCATTGAATTCAGATCCAATTATATCGTTATAGAATGAAACTAACGAATAGAATAAAAAATTGTATATTTTTAATCTTATAATACATATTTAAAAAACTGCAATTTTATTTTTATTTTAACTTATATTTGTATATTTTTTATATATTCATCATGTATTTTCTATTCTATACTAATTAAATTTTTTTTTCTTTCAAAGGTGTGATCTAAAATTTAATGACTTGAGGATAGTCATATTTTACATGTATTTTTTTTTTACAATAAAATAGATTCCAATAAAAAATATATATATATATATATGTTTAATCATATTTTTATGTTATATACATTTTTAATAAATTATAAATAATAAATTATAATAAGAAACAATATCGTTTTCTATTCATCCTTCAAAAATTAAGCTCAAAATCGGAAAAAAAATTTTGCCCAATTTGTTTCTAATATTCGAACCACTGTATCATCATCTTGCAAAGATTTTTCAAAAACGATTGTAAAAAAAATATTACATTATATATATATATGTTAATATTACAATTTCATATATCTATTTTTGCATTGCAAATTGAAATATTATAATAATTTCAAAATATTTATTGTAATGCAATTTTATTTCTCAATCTTCTTCAATCTGATTCAATATTATTTCCTGCTAAATTTCTAGAAAAATATTTATAATGTGCGATAATAGGAAAAACATCGAAGAGACGAAAGCGAACGAGATTCCGTGCGAGTCATTGACGTTCTCAAATTAACTCGGAAGGGTCGGTTTGTTTTACTAACAACTCGAACGAAACAGTTTATTCCCATTCGGGAAGTATTTTGGCAAACAGTTATTCGACGTACCTATTATCGAAGCTACAAGTTTTCTTCTATTCGAGCAACTTGTTGATCGTCACACTCTTCTTACGTAATCTCGATCACGAATATTTTTGAAATCGTTCGTCGTTTACTTGTCCTCTCGTTTGACATTTTTCTAAAAAAAAAAAAAAAAAAAAAAGAAAAAAAAAAGAAAAAAGGAAAACATAATTAAAAACAAATAAATTTCGATGAAAGTAAAATTTTGAAATACACTTCGATCGCGATACAACTTTCACGCTTCGTCGTAACATTGACCGAACTATCGTGTTTTGGTAATTACGAAAGCTATATTATATGCAGAATTGCTCATAGAAATAATTAAATTTCTCACATCGAGAAAGGAAGGTTTTCCTCTTATTCTCGATGCAATTTTATAAGATGTCACAAGGAAACAGCGCCGACTTCGAAAGTGTTAATTCGATTTTACCATTTGAATGGTGTCTTGATTTCGAACTTGGAATCAAGTTACAATTCGCCTCTCTACTACCGTCCAAACGTTATTACGTTGTTTTAAGCCATATTAAGAAACATTCGCGCTCTATTTCCTTTACTTTTAACCGATCTTTGATCGTGATTTCGACAAGTATTTGTAAGTTGCAAAGTATTTCAATCGTTGGAATTTTCGAATCTGGAATTCGAAAAAGCGTGATTAAATTAAAATTTCGTTGTGTGACGCAATATGAGCAATATAATAAAAATCTATCATTGTCGATTCAGGTAAGAGTCAACACACCTTAGAATCTTTTTTTAATTTGCCGAAAGAATAAAACTGGAACGTAAAAATTCAAACAAGCGTAATAATATCGAATCGACATAAATAAAAAAAAAACATTAAATCTCGTTGAAGAATTGTAAAAATTCGTTAGAAGATAGAT